TCTTCTGACATCCATTTTGGTCGTTTCTTCCTCTTCTGTCTTTGTAATGACCGTTTGCACTCTTCCTGGATAATACCTTTGACATCCTCCCACAACTCATCTGGTCTTCGCTCATTAGTGTTCAAGGCCTCAAACCTGTTCCTGAGATGATTCTGAAATTCAGGTGGTATGAAATAAGTCATATTTTGGCTCCTGTGGATTTGGTTTAATTTTCCTCAGCTTCAGCTTGAACTTGCATATGAGTAGCTGGTGGTCCGTTCCACAATCAGCCCCCGGCCTAGTTTTCACAGCTGATATTGGCTGACTTCCGCCGGGTCCACAGCTTCCAGGCTCCCCTTCTGCCCAGGGGCACGCTCTCCGTGTTCCCCCAGCACCTCCTCCCGAAGGATTTTTCTCTGTACCTGCAGTATGTCACTTCTCTATTGTTTGGGCTGACTTCCGCCGGGTCCGCAGCTTCCAGGCTCCCCTTCTGCCCAGGGGCGCACGCTCTCCGTGTCCCCCCCAGCACCTCCTCCTGAAGGATTTTTCTCTGTACCTGCAATATGTCACTTCTCTATTGTCTGGGGATGGATGATAGATAGATAGATAGATAGATAGACAGACAGACAGATAATCTATATACGTATCTACCTACCTACCTATCCATTGCTCTCTACCTACCTGTCTACCTGTCTATCTTTCTGGAGCTCTAGTGGCCTAGTGGCAAGAAGCTGTGCTGCAATCCTGGAGGCGCACAGTTTGAATCCATCATCTGTTCCCTGGGAAAAGGATGGGCAGCCTCTTCACATGTGATCAACTGCCTCATGGTATACAGCCCAACAACGAACCTTAAGCTCTAGTTCATTCACTTCCATAGTTGTAGTAACATTTATGTATCATTATGCCTCAAATGCTTATCTCCAGGCCAGATTTCTATTCTGAGAGTCAGACTCATACCAAGTTTCTTACAGGACTTTTCCATTTATGTGTCCTGGCATCTCAAATTCAATCCACATGCTCTTAACTGCATTATTCATCTCCCCTGTTTCTCTTCTTTATTAGTTAATATGGGGATTATATTGTCACACTGGGATCCTAAAGTTTGTTCTAGATTCATCCATCCCCCACATTAAAGTTCATGTGAAGGGGATAGTATTAGAGATTGGCCAGAAAGTGTGGAGGCTGGTTCACTTACTCAGTAAGGGGGTAATGAGATCTAGATGAGGATGCTTGCATTTTTTTCATGCCTAAATCCAGGGTTTAGGAACCAAAGAATATGGAGTATATGGGGGTGCCTCATGGGCTCTCAAATAGTTTCTTTTTCTCAGTCTGGCATGAAACTCCCCAAAGAGCACATGTGAGGATTCTGTGAAGATGAAGTTGTATCTCCTTTAATACAAGAGAAGAGGGCCAACCTACATTGACTGCTAGGGCTCAGAATTTGGGGAGTTGAGATTCTTTATTTATGCCAGACCTTTATTTATGCTCTCACTGGTTGTATCTTGGAATTAACTTCTGCTCCCCTTGTAGGTGGCTGATGGCCTGGTCAAGGTACAGGTGGCTTTGGGGAACATCGCCAGCAAGAGGGAGAGGGTAAAGATTCTGTACAAAAAGAGTAAGTGCCTCTCTAGGGTTCTGCCTCCCCTCCCTCTCATGCTTGTGTTTTCTGGGAGTTGGCATTGTCCCTTCAGACCAGTCAATAATGGAATAGCCCATTGGTGAGAGCAAGAATGTTATATCCCTGCAGAACTTGTAAAGTGAGATGTACTTTCTTTTTTTCCTTGGGAATAAACCCTAAGCCCATACCAGTGTCCTAAGTTATGGGACAAGAGCTCTGCCTGATGGGTCTTTTTTGGTGGAGGAAGGGCAAGATTAAGAGTAAAAATTAGGCACTGAGAACCCTTGATGTCGGTCAGCCAAGGCTTTTTTGGTAGCTCAGCGAGCAGCCCTTGCTTGGTAAGTGGAAATCACACAAGGCTCTGACTTTGGTTATACCGAGGGGAAGGGGGTCTTCTGCTCCTTGATGAGTATAGTTGAAGACCCCAAAATAGTGAGAGCAGTGTTATGCTCTGAGACTTGAGATGATGAAAGTAGAGAGACAAAGGGGTGGGGGCTTCGTGGAGGTCTGCTGATAGGGCACTGTGAGTGTCAGCTCCTCATTATATCTTCATAAGACAGAGGCCCACTTCCCAACTCTCCTGCTTCCATTTTCTCTCTTGCTATTTTTCTAGTTGAAGACTTGATCAAATACTTGGATCCTGAATATATGGACCGCATTGCAGTTCCTGATGCCTCCAAGCTGCAGTTCATCTTAGCAGGTACTGTTTGCCAGACAATGTGTGAACATATATTGGGGGATCATGGGTTTTGGGTGAGATTGGACATAGAGAGGGCTCCCACCTAGTGTTCTTGTACATGCAGCCTGAAAGCTGTTCTCTGGAATTCTGGCCTGGCTCTGACTGGAGGAGATCCTGTAGGTCCTCTAATGGGCATTGGGCATGGTACACTTCCAGACAACCTGCAAACCATGTTGTCAGCCACATGTTGTAGCCACAGTAGGTGCTATCCCTGTATTGTAGCAATCTATCACTAGGATTTTCCTTAAGAACCTTCCTCGCTTTCTTCTCATGGGACAGAGGAACTTCTAGGACAAGGTGGGCAGAGGGGTATTTAGGAGAAAGGATAGTACTTTGGTAAAAACAATAGTATTACATCCTTAAGCCCATGTCAGTGTCCTAAGTTATGGGACGAGGTTTATTGGCATAAGTTTTGATGTCTTCCTTTCAAGTGAGAAGGCCCTGGGATTTCAGGGTCTTAGGAGTTTTTGCTTTGGCTCTCTCTGGAGTTTTTGCTTTGGCTCTGTCTGCCAACCAGTGAGTTAGCCAGCCACGCCACAAACTAGGGTTTTCTGAGTACTTGCTATGTTCATTCGTCGTTCCTTCAAAAGATGTTTAATCATTTACTGTGAGCCAGTGTACCTCATACTATCTTGAGTGAGCAATAAGAAACACAAACTTTCAGAAACCTGAATTGATACCTGGCAGGGAAATCAGGTTCCCATGATGGAGACTGGTAAAGTAATGCAACACTGAGGACCAGGTGAGGATGGGCAGCTCCCAAAGCTCCTGGTCAGCTGCTAGGACTCAGGCATCAAGTTCAGAAGCTCTCCTACTGCCCTGACACTTGAGTCTAGACTTTCTATCCCTCCCCAAGACCTCAGTGTTCATCCCCTATTTTAGTGACTGTCACAAATCTTCCCTCTTAGAGCTTCCTGGAATCTCTGAGTGGTGTTGTTGTTGTGTGCTGTCAAGTCAGAACTGACCCATATCTGACCCTCCAGTAGGTTTTCAGAGGCAGTTAATCACATGGGAGGAGATTGCCCATCGTTTTCTGCAGAGCAACTGGTGGCCTCGAACCACATGCTTTTGGGATTGCAGCACAGCTATTTGCCACTAGGCCACCAGAGCTCCCTTAGAATCTCTGTGTGTGGGGACCCAAATCCTGAAGCTCTTTGTTCCCTATAAACTGGGAAGGGATCCTTGAGAATATATTGAGAAGACATTCTAGCTTTGAAACTTGGGGAAAAGTGGGATTTGGAGAAACTGAGAGACTGCCCAGCTGTCTTCCTTGCTAGGTTCTCAGCCCATACATGGGAGTAAAGCTACCTTACTGCTGTTGTTTTCTCTACTTCTGCTTTAGAGGAACAGTTTATCCTCTCCCAGGTTGCGCTCCTCGAACAGGTGGAGGCCTTGGTGCCCATGCTGGACAGCTCTCATATCAAAGGTACCTATCTGCGACTGTACTGCCATTGTTCTGCTTGAGAGGTGGTGGATGGGCAGGACTGCGTCATGCGCCAGATTCCCTGGGCCCAGGCTGGATCTAACCATATTAACTCTCACACTGGAGCCACCCACTCCCTCCATTGAGATTAGAATTGTCAGGGCGAGGAGTCTGGAGTTAATGCTTTAGGCAGTTTGAGCCTGTGGACACTAGTATAAGCTAGTATAGTCTTCAGCTTTGGGGATTGCATCTGCCTCCTACTCTCTCCCTCGGCATCTGTCCTTCTAGGTATTGCAGACTGGATTTTACTGTCAAAGTCCCTGCACTGTATGAAGGTGGATGTAGTCGTTTTGCCACTACTGAGAGAGTCCCTCCGCCTGGGCTTTGACAAGCAGACAGTGGCTTTAATTGAATCCAGATATCCATCTTGTCTGCCTCTCAAGGCATTTTCCCCAGCTTCTCCTCCCCGTCCCTGATCAGCTACCTGCTCAACATCGGAGAGCCTTAAGTTGAGGACCCAGCAGGGTGGTTGAGGTTCTGGGTTTTGAATTCTGAATGACTGGCTTAGGGACCTGGCAATCTTCCTCAGCCCCCCGCAAGCTCCCCACTTGGTACGAGCAAAGGGACAAACCACCAGATAGGCAAAGCTCTTTACTGGGCCTTGCTCACAGCACTGGAGTGGGGATAGGGGCAACTCTGGGGACCCGAGGGCTTTGTGTTCTCTTGGGGGCCTGTATCCTCCCCTCCCCTTTGGGCCGTGGAGTGGGATGAACTGGGATGGGCTGGGAGCCCCACCACTTCCAACTGCAGCGGTCGATGAAGCCTGGCGTTTGTTTAGCTTCGCCACTCAATACTCTAATCCTGCCGAAGACCTAATAGACTATTGAGCAGTCCCAGGGGAGGGCACAAGCATCATCGGGCAGTGCGTTGTGTTTTACAGCCGTTCCTGAGCATGCTGCCCGCCTGCAACGCTTGGCCCAGATCCACATTCAGCAGCAGGTATGAGAGGGGAGAGGGCTGGAAGGGAGGGGAGAGGTGGTGGTAAACCACCTAGCCCTCACCCCTGCCATGTTGGGCAGGGGCAGGGATATAACCTCAGGCCCCCTGATATCAGCTTTACGGGAAACATGGGGGTTTATCCCTGTTCCCGCCCCAGAACAGGGGAAAGGATTTGACTAGGGACACATCCAGGTAGGTTGTCTGCCTTCAGAGTAGGCCAAGTCTAGATACCAGAAGACTGATTTTGGTAGGTCCCCACAAATTCCTGGAATGGTATGACTTTAAATGTTTAAAAAGTTCTCTTCCTACCCCTTATGCCAAGGCTCTAGTGGATAATTCAAAGAGGTTTTAGAATGAGGACAGGAAAGGAAAAGACCTGCTAGGGAGGTGTTTCCTTAAATGTGTGACTCCTTGATTCCATTGGCCTTTGGACTGAGAATACCAGCCACACCACTGCTAGAGGACCCCTCTAGGAGCCTGCAGTTTGCTCTTCTGGTTCTGAGGTTAAACATCCCTTTTCTGAGTGCTGTTAGAATCAAGGTCCCTGATGAGAAAGGGAGACTAGTGGGAGGCTGAGTATTTGCCCAACACCTGTCCATAATATTCCTTGACCCAACAGGATCAGTGTGTGGAAATCACGGAAGAGTCCAAGGCTCTCCTGGAGGAATACAACAAAATTGTATCCTTTCTGCTCAGCCAGACTCCTATTGGGTGCTGTTCCTGAGCCCTGTCTTTTTACCCCACTTCTAAGCTCTCTCATCCCAGCTCAGCGAGTCTTTCTTCCTCTGCTTCCCTAAACCCACCCCTTTTGGCTGATTGGCAGTCATTCCTACAGACTGCTGTTTTCACCTTGACCTGTGACCAGACAATGCTTCTCTCCAAGCAGTTTGTACAGTGGGATGAGCTACTTTGCCAGCTAGAAGCTGCCAAGCAGGTGAAGCCAGCAGAAGAATGACAGCTACTCCCAATCCAGGGGCTCCCAGGAGTTCCCAGCTCCAGGGATCTATGCCAACCTGCTCAACAGGACAGAAGCAGTTCTCTGTATTTATATAATTCACAGCCTACCTTTCTGCACTCAGGTGGGACTCTGAGGCTCGGCCATTAGCTGAGATTTGAGACTTATACCATCTCCCAATCAGTGTCCTTATTCCAATAATAATAATAAATATTTAAAAATATATATATATATACATTAAGAAATACTGGCCACATTCCTGATTTAGCATGAGGTTGGTGAAGGGGACATGGTACCTTATTTGTTGGGCTGTTAACCAAAAGTGCAGCAGTTTGAATCTACCAACTGCTCTTTCCAGAGAAAGACAGACTGTCTCTTCTATAAAGATATGTAGACACGGAAACTCAATGGTGGGTGGCTGTGAATGGGAATAGACTAAAGCAGTGGAAGTGGTAAGGAGGGTGGGGTGGCGGGCACCTAGTAGTTGGACCTATTCTGCACCAGCCATCCATGCAGAAGTTGGACATTCTTGTTTGACTGATGTGGCGTTCGGTTATGCATTCATTTATCCCACTTTTACTGAATACTTACAAATAGATGTAATTTCAGGTGAGAAGGACACAGGGTGAGAGGGTGGAGTGACAGTCAAGAAAGAAGGCAGTCACAGCAGATGGCCAGAAAAGGGAGTGATGGGGAAGGAGAACATCCTTGGAAGGTGATAAAGTGACTTCTGAGAGCCAAGGGAGCAGCATGTGCAAAGGCCTTTAAAGCCTGGAAGCCTAGCAAGTTCTGTCAGCTAGAGAACCCGGAAAGGTGAAGGGTTTGGCTGCGGGGAGTTGTAGATTCCTGAAAAAGGAGGTTGGGTAGTGAGTGGGGCATTGGAAGGAAAAGCCGAGATCGCCAGTGCAACAATGAATGAATGAAAAACCCAAAATCTCTGTAAATGTTCATTGAAACTAATAAAATTTAATAATAATTTAAAAAAAAGTTAAGCTTTAAGAAAAAAAAAGCAGAGATCGCGCTGGGCACCACACTGCCAGCTGTTTGCTGCCCCCTTGTGGTCGTGGGGACTGTTTTAGTCTCAGCCACCACCCCACGTGAACGATGGTCATAGTATCTCACTATGTCCGAGCTGGTCTGAAACCCAGAGTCATCCTAAACACTTCTCCCAGTACAAACAGTTGCCAACTCTTTGCCAAATCCATCTCCAAGCAACTCCCAAGTTCACCACTGTCATTTCTCTGGTCTGTTCTTTTAACTAATAGTTGTGTGCCTGTAACACACCAGGCATCATTTGGAGACACACAACCCCGGGGCCCAAAGACATTAGCAGATGCGGTCCGATTTCCCCCTCCAAGCCCTCTTCCACTGCGGAGAGTGAGCGTCTCCAGTGCCCGGCTCCTGCTGGAACCAGTGCTGTGGCTCGCAGGAGACGAAGCTCACAGCGCAGTGACAGCGGCTCCACACCGAACCGCTTGGCATCTGTTGTTGCCCAGCGCCCCAGCTCTCGCCCTCAGCGTGACTGCGGCAACGCGCTCAAGCGTGTCACCGACGATGAGGACAGCACAGGGTTCCGATATGTTGTTCATAGGGTCGTTATGAGTCGTACGCGACTCCATGGCACCTAATAACAATGCCCATCCAGTAACGCCAGTCCTCCCATTCTGGCAGGGTCAAAGCCTCATCCGTCAGTTGGTCCATGGCCCCTCTAGTAGGAGTGTCCCTGCCCCGGGCTTTACAACAAATACAGTGCGTTTGTGTTCCGGGTTCCAATCCCTGGGCGCCCGGGCTCCGGCCTCTCCGAGTCGCTCTGCTGACCTTCGGTTTCCCCAGCCGAGCCCGTACCGCGGACCACGTTCCGTAGGCCCCGCCCCCGGCGTGCGCGGCCCCGGCGGCGGCGCGCTCCGGGCCCGCGCGCCATCTTGGTTCCGGGTCGCGCGTAAGGCAGGCGCGCTGGCGGCGGTGGGGTGAGAGCCGGCGTCGGTGGGAAGGGGGCGCGTGGAGGTGGAGCTGGGAGGCCGGCTCCTCGGCGGGCGCCGCTGGGGAAACACTAAACGCCAATGGCGATGGGGCACGAGGGCCGCGGGGGCCGGACGCCAAGGGTGGTTCGGGTAGCGGCCCGGGTGGAGCCTCTGCTCCGGTTTAAAGACCTAGGCCGAGCCCCAGAGCCCTGGAGTCCCTGGGCCAGGGCAGCGTGGCCCTCTTCTGAGGATCCCGGAGTCGGGAGGTGTCCTCTTTAAGGGCCTGCCCTTGGAGAGCTCTGAGTGAGGGGCGCTTATACCTGTTTTCGGGGAGGTTAAGTGGAACTAAGCTTGGTTCCCAGTCCTGGAGACCTCTGGGATCACGGCCCCAAAGAAGCCAGTGTTTGGGATCCGGACTTTCGGATGGGAAGAGTGCTAAGGCTGTTTGGGGCGAGACTGACATGAGCCGGGCCCTGAGAAGCTGGGGTGTGGGAATTGAGCGCTTTCCCTTTGAATGCTAAGGAAAAGCGCATGGCCATGTGCTGGGGGGCCGGGGTATCTAGGATGGAGGGGAGGACGGCCTGGGTGTGCTCTCAGCTGAGGACTCACCTGACACTTCCCTGCAGAGAATACAGGATTCACAGCAAGTCGGATGGAGCACTATCGAAAAGCTGGCTCGGTGGAGCTCCCCGTGGCTTCTCCCATTCCCCAGCTACCTCCTGATACCCTGGAAATGCGAGTCCAAGCTGGCAGCAAAATCCGCAACCTCCTGGAGCTGGCTCTGGGGCAGTTAGAAGGAGGCAGCACCCGCCACGTGGTGTTCTCCGGCTCTGGTCGAGCAACAGGGAAGGTTGTCAGCTGTGCTGAGATTGTCAAAAGGCGGGTTCCAGGCCTGCATCAGCTCACCAAGCTGCGCTACCTGGAGACTGAGGACAGCTGGGTCCCTGCTTCACCTGACACAGGCCTAGACCCTCTCACAGTGCGCCGCCATGTGCCTGCAGTGTGGGTACTGCTCAGCCGGGAACCCCTGGACCCCAATGAATGTGGCTATCAGCCACCAGGGGCCCCCCCTGGCCTGGGATCCACTCCTCGCTCGAACAGTGGCCCTCGACCACGAAGAAGGGCTCGAGACACCCAGCCCTGAGGACCTGCTCCACGCCAAGTATCTGGGATAAATGCTTTCTTCATTGGACCCCTCTAACTGATCAAGATCTCCAACAGAAGTGGTGCTTGCCAACCTGCTTCCCCTTCGCCCTAGAGTGGGAGAAGGGATTGCTGTGAGGAGTGACAGGTGTGGGGTCTCTCCTGGCTCCAGGATTGCTTAAGACCTCACTCTGCCTTCCACCTACAGTGCCTCTGATCTCCCTTTGAACAGAGGTCCAGAGAATAACTTAGGAAATAAAGATTTTAAGTGTTTGTCTGATGAGCTTCTGTGAGGTTAAGGGAATGGGAGTCCCTGCCCCAGTCGTTGACTTCTGTTGGGTCCCCCAGAGCTTTGGGACCAGACTCCCTTGTAGATGATTGAGTTCCTCAAACAAGACGGAAATGAGGGCATGGGAATGCATAGCTGAGCCACCTGGAGGAACAGTCACTAGAGTTGAGAAATGAGGTTGAGGAGATTGCTGGTACTGTGATGTGTACTGATGGTGTGAGGTCAGCCAGGATGTAATATGTTGAGTAGTCCTACTACATGCTTTAGACATGGGATCTATAGAAAGTTTGTTAACATTGAAATGCAGAACTTAAAAACTCATTGCCTTTCCGTTGATTCTGACTCATACTGAGTTTCCAGTGTTATAAATCTTAATGGGAGGAGATTGCCCGTCCTTCTTCAGAGGCATGGCTAATAATTCGAACCATTAAAGACTTAAAGCTTTTTAGTTAGCAGCCCAGCATCCTACACACTAGGCCACCAGAGCTCCTGAAATACCCAGAGAAGTAACATATTTCTCATACTCAAGTTGATAAGGACTGATGCTGAGTCCTTCTACTTTTCCCTCCCAGGTCTACCCCCAAGGAGCTCTCATGGCACACAAAATAGTTAAGTATTTGGCTAGTGTTGAAACGTTGGTGGTTCAAACTCACCAGTAAGATGTGAGTCTGATTCCACAAAGATGACAGCATTGGAAACCCTGTAGGGCAGTTCTGCCTTGTCATAGGGTCGCTATAAGTCAAACTGGCTTGACAACAGTAGGCTTCGGTCTCTCCATCCCCACAGCCTCTGTTTGTGACTCATTATCTTACAAGGGTTTCCTTGCTGATCTCTGTTTTCCTACCCTGTGAACTCTCCTCCACACCAAGCCACTGGCCGTTCTTTGTTTATAATTTTCTTCCCATACATGCCTGATGGCTCTCCTTCAAGATTTTTTTCAAATAAACACTTTAGGAGCCCTACTTGGATCACTTCATTGAAAACTACAAGTAAGCACTTCTGATTTCTATTACCCTGTTCTATTTTTTCTATGTAGGTTTATAAATCTAACATAATTTATGTAAAAAATAGGTTTTGTTTATTGTCTGCTCCCTGTAATGAGCATATTAAACTCTGAGGGCCAGGAATCTTTGTTTTATTCACTGACCTTCCTAAGGATCTGGAACGTTGCCTAGCAAAAGGTGGTCAGTAAATACTGAAGATTGTACCTCCAGTGTGTGGGCACACCAAATCTGTTCTTGTCATTCCTCTGTTCTTTAGTCATCCCATGTCCAGATTACAGGACAAGATCTAAACTTTTTTGCTTGATTTACCCACCGCAGAAACATGGGACAGCTTCAGCCCTTGGGCCCTGGGACGGGAATAGAATGAGAAGAAAGAAGGAAAATGCTTCACCCTTTCCACAAGAGCTATGAGGTTTTCTGTCTCGAATCTGCTCTTTTGCCATCCTGTCTACTTGGAACTCCCTAGATTGGGTGCCATCCTGTCTACTTGGAACTCCCTAGATTGGGTCTGAACACTCTCAGGGTTTAACATCATCTGAGTCTATATCCCCATTCCCTCCTGCACCAGTTTCCTGGACCAACAGCCAGGGCAGGCCTTATTCCAAGGGCGTGTTGCACTAGCTGCACTTCTGATGTGGCCACAAGATGGCAGCATTTATAAAGGGATGGCTTATCCCTTTACAGACTGTAGGGATGGGGCTCTGGAATTTTAAGAGAATATACAGGTTAGCCTTGAAATCTGGTCCAAAATGAACCTAATTATTCAGCACACATCTACCACTGTCATGTGATAAATACAGTCACTTGCCTCAGAGCTTCCATTCCTGTGAGAACTATAGTTGTATTTCTTATTTTCATGGAGTCAGAACCAACCCATAGCTCACCCTCCAATAGGTTGTTAGGCTGTAAATCACAAGTTAGGAGACTATCCATCTTTCCCTCGCAGAGCTACTGTTGGCTTTAAACTGCCAGGGAGGCATTTGGGTTAGCAACTAAACTCCATAGGGACTGTGCCACCAGAATATAATTTGACTATAATGTAAATACGCATCTAGGAGAAATTCTCAAGATTGCAGGAATTCAGAGGAGGCCTCAGGCTTTTGGGAAAAGGAGAATTTAAAGAAGAGGATATAATGCCTGCTTGGAATCTTGAAAAATTACCTAGGAGAAATAGGACATTCTAGATGAAGGGAAGACAGGCCAAGGCATAGAGGTGAGACACAGCCTGGAGTGTGTAGACAAGATTAGCAAGATGCAAACATTCTTCTAAGTGGTATAGCACTGGTCTGTGCATTGCTGTACAGAGGTAACTCGTGGTTGCTATGAGGCTGAAGCCTGTGACAGTGATGTGCCAATCGTGGTAATGGGCACCCATGGTAGACAGTGTTGGCTGGAGCTTCCCGACTAAATCAAGCCTGGAAGCAGGAGTGGCATCCACTTCCAAAATGACTTGCCTCCAGAAACTCTATGTACGAACAGTGCTCAGGCTGTTTGTTCATAGGGTCGCTTTGAGTCGTCTACGACTCGACGGCATTAAACAACAACAATGTCAGGCAGTGTGAGGAGGGAGTCTCAGGAAGGAAAGGGCCTCTACTCAAAGGAACTAACTGGCTAAAGAGCTGTGCCTCTATGCTGAGGATGGTAGGGAGTTGTTGACGGCTTTAAAGGGAGGGTGCTGTGGGGAATCATATTTGTGTTTTAGAGAAGACGGGAGGAATAACGCTGAGGTATCCAAAAAAGTCAACATTATGGCCAGAGAAAGTCCCTGGAAAAAGCATCTTTCGTCTTAACTGTGGAGTCCACCAGGGCTTTCAAGGTCAGGCAATCTGCAAAGTCTTTTTACCATAGCCCTCACTCAAAAATGAGCCACATCAGCCTTTTGTTCCTGAAACTTCTTTTGGCTCTGTCCTAGCTCCTCTGATTATCCTGATTAGATCCAGGGCTGTTGAGTCTTAGTTGGTTTCCATGTGGTCATAGTGCCCCAGGTTTCTCCCTGCTAGTAGATGTGTTAGCCTTAAGCGCAGCCTCTTCCAATGTGACCCATTCACATGCTCCCCTTGTTGACAGGTCAGAAGCACCTGGATGGAGTCTGGCTGAGCCTGGCCTCCACCAGGGAGCCAGGACGAATATGGGACATCCTCTGCCATCTTCACCCCACTAGGAGTTAACCTGTGTACATGGAAACTGGTAACAAGATTGACACTGAAGGAATGACATTCCTAGCTGGAAGAGGGCCACAACCTGAGGAAAGAACTAGACGTGGGAAAGCCCAAAGGAGAATTTGGAAAATGGGATATTAAGAGTTCGGCAGGTCAGATCACAAGCCAGAACTGGAGACATGACCATGTTCTTGAGCAAAGATTGAGAGTCACCTTCATTCACTGTCTCATGAATATGCACAGAACCTGTTGAATTATGCAGACAGAAAGGATGTAAATTTGTATGCAAATTTAGTGCTGCCCTCCCTGTTGCTATAGAAACCAAAGAATAGCAAAGGGGGGGACCCACACCCTGGGGAGACCCAGGCAGTAGAGACTGGAGACCGGGAGATTCTCTTCTGTCACCTGCTTTTCCTACTCCCGCTGCTTGCTTCTCTCTCTGCCTCACTCCTTCCACTCCCTTTGCCTTGCTCCCATCTCTCTGCCTCTTGATCTTTTTGTCTCTTGGTCTTTCCCATCATTCTGTGATTTCCTCCCAATTGGTTTGTTGTTGTTGTTGTTTTGCTTCCCTACCCCCAATCTTGATTTTCTAGATCTCTGTATTGTTGATGCCACCTCGCTGTTGCTCTGTGATTTTTTAGATAGTGTGGTTTTTTCCTGACTTCTTTATCTCTCTGACTCTCACATTTTTCCTTCTTTGTGTCTCTGTCTTTTTTGCCTGATTCTGTGTCTCTGAGTTTGTTTCTTGGTCCCTTCCAAACCGTCTGGTCTCTTCCTCAAATTCTGTGTCTCTGAGTTTGTATCTGTCGGGAAGGACAGGAAGCCACACATCTGTCCTGGCCTGATGGGATGCTCCACCCCTGGCCTAGCTGCCCACATGTTTAAGGATTCCTTAGCACTTCCCCACAAGAATCCTGCTTTGAGTCTGGCCCTTAGCATAGTATTGCCCCAGAATCCCTAAGACAGGCCCAGGCTGGCTGCCAGGACAACAGGGCCCCTGTCCCAGCTTCTGTGTGACCCTGCCAGTGTCTGCCCTTCTCCATGTCTACAGCCTAAACTCTCTTCTTGAAGCTGGTTTGCACCTGAGGCAAAGATGTGCTGGGAATATGGAAGTGAGGGGGGTATCTTAGTGGTTCACCTATCTGGCCTCCTGCCCGAAGAGTGATGTGGGGGGTCTGGCAGGGTCCCAGGTGTGGGGGTGTCTAAGGCTAGTTGAGACCAGTCTTGGCCCCCAGAGAAGACTCCCTGCTGAGACGCAGGCTTGAGCTCCCTGCTCCTGCCTGCTGCTGGTGTGGCCATTCAATTCCCTGTTGGGGGGCTTCTGTTTGCCCACCTTCAATTCAGTTCACATTTGATGAGTTCCTACTCTTCATCACTCTCTGCTCTGCCTTCATAGGTCCACGGTGTACTTTCCCACCAAGAAGGAGATATTTGGTCCAGGTGAAGAATACAGACTGTTCCATCCCATAGCTTCCTGTCACAAGCTGCCTTAATTTGGGGTGCATCTGCCAAAGTCATAGCTCAAGGCTGAGTGACACGCATAGAGACA